TCAGTTCAACACTGTCATTTATATTCTATGGTTGCAAAAATTAATTTTCTGTTATCATTTTTGAGCGATGTACAAAGTTATTTCTACTTCTCGTCCAACATGATATTTGAATTTCATATAGAAAGCCTTAAAGTTGATTTCTCGATTCTGTTTAGCTCATTCTTAAACGACAACATTTACTAAATAATAAGTATGATTCATTAAATTGATTCCATTTAAATAATTCCTTAATTGTATACAGATATATTGCTAGGTTTGAACCTATCACGAGTTCACTTAATCTGCGAATGGAACAAAGACTTGTAACCGAAGACCAATAAGCTAGCTATTCGATGCATCCCAGCTCCACTAACTAGAGGGAGAATTCCAAGCTTGGAATGGGGAAGTATGTTCTGCAAACAGTTTGAAACGAGCGATAACAACAAACACAAATCAAAACATATATATTTATACAGTACAAAACCGTCCTTGGGGAGAGTTACCAAAGAGCATACTAAAAGACTCAACGGACTAATAGCATTTAAGATATTTCCCAAGTGGGAAATACGACATGAAGGTGACAAGAGCGCTTTTGGCGCTAAAAAAAGAAATTCCTTTTCCAAGTGAGTTCTGGAGATCTAACGTCCCCAAAACATACTACTTAATTCATTTGTAGCAGAAAATTTAATACCAGAAGACTGGAACATTTGACTAATTCTTATTATTTCTTTTAACATCTTATGATCATTATTTCTCGAGACGGATGTTGCAATGACGTTTTATGTAAATGGTATTAGGTTATGATCCCATAGTAAACATCAACTCTGAGATGCAGGTATATCCAGTTGACGAGTCTGAAATAGGACGGAGTTCGTGTACTATACTCCATTGTTAGACACCATCCATCTCTACTTACATCTTGTAAAATTTCAAGGTCATATGTAGACCTATTATGACTCTGATATTCTAGACATTATCAGTATGAATTCGTAGAGATTAGTGATTTTCACTAAAATTATAAATCGATCTAAGTTAAACAACCATTAAAAAAAATCAGAAGCTCTGAATGATCGTTTCGTTTTGGTATTCTCATTAGTAACTAGCTTCAGAAGGTAAATCTCAGATTTCTAGTGAGACTCTGTGACCAGTAGGGTTTAACAGTGTGGGGTAACAGGCAGATACCTGTCGAAAACAATGGCAAATTGTCGCGCAATATCGTTGACGTCAGAAATTAACATCGTTGATTGCAAGGAGTAAGGTGTTAAGTTCGATTTGCTGTGGTAGAGTCGTAGATACATACTACTGAAGAGTTCCATATTATGACGAAACGACCGTCCAGTGTTTTTTAATTTTCAGTAGTTGCCTAATATTGATTAACTCATGATTTCACTGAAGCGCTAGTGAATTAACTTTTAAAATGTCACTTCATTTTACATTACAGAAATGCTCCTGGGTAACAAGAAGATATTGAAGAAAGAAAACAATACCTAGATGTTTAAATGCAAAACTTATCATTGAATAATATAAATGTTAAAAACTAAAGGGAATTATAATTGGTTATTTCAATCAAGTATGAAGCATATTCCCAGTATCTAATCCACAACATAACAAAATTAAATCAATCAGAGAACCTGTAAAACCTCATGACAATATCTGCATCATTGTTTTCAACAACAACAACAACAACAACAACAACAAACACACAGACACATCAAGAAAGAATACACTGATGTTTTCATAGTTACTAAACATCTATTATTGGCTAATAACATCATGATCTAAACAGCTTAATTACCACTAATTAACTAATCAATATAACAGTTCATTGGATAAAATTGATATACATATTTCCATTGAACTGTTACAATATATCTATTCAACCAATCAATTAAACTATGACTGAATCAATGATCATAAAACTTGGACAATTCTTTTTTTTTTTTTAATGATTGTTTTTACAATAATTTATCATAAATCACAGTAATAATTTTAATATTGATAATAATAGAAATATTATTGATCGTTTCTTTTTTTTTTTTTTCTTGTCTCTAACCCACTAGTATGATATGGATAAATGGTAAAATGACAACATGATTTGGACTTTTCGTAGGAAAATGATTAATGATGACTCATCATTTTTATATAAATAAAAAACAGTAGAGTAGTTTAATGTTTTATTTAATATCTATGCCATTGGAAATCATCTTATTAAATAGTATATCATATATTCATTCATCTATTATAGAATCAGTCATATTCTGAATGTAGATATCTAGATAATATATTTGGAAGATGAAGAAGAAAAAAAACATGTTGTAACTTGACATGTTAACGTTTAGTTTTGGCTAACCCGATTAATATACAGATATAATATGAACATTTGTCCTTAACATGTTTCTATCTTAGAAATAATAATAATAATAATACACACATATGGTTTTATGAGAGATATGGTTAATTTAAAAAGCACTTTCTGATAATACAAATAATAACGTATACTTAGTTGTTAAATACTTACAAGTTAGATATCTATATCATACAGTGAATTCGACTGACCTTGACAGATGGACGAACAACACAAATGAATAAATTCATTTCTTAGTTTAAAGCGCTTATTGATCTTAGCAAGAGAGGAATATCCAAAAAAAAATGTTTCAGTGGAATTAGACTATGTCAGATGTGAGATAATTTCCTGCAAATGTGATTAGAAGATAATTTCTGTTCTACTTGCTAATTAATTGATCAATGTTCTGAAGTGCAGATGCTTTCTGTAAGATCTGAAGGTACTGAATTCGACCTCTGTTAAGAGGTTGTGTATATGCACAGTCACTGAGAAGTTTTATATTAAAAAGAAACGGCTTCCAAGTGCTTCCTGTTATTTTTTTAAAGGGTTGATTCAGTCAGTCAGTCAGTTAAAACGTGGAACTTTGTATGTACGTACATCAGTTCGATTTGCCATCCCACATTAGCACAGAGAAGCAGTTGTCGATTTAAATCCCGTAGTGGTAAAGGTGGTAAGAGTATATGCAGTAATCGGAAAGATTAGTCTTTGAAGATGTTATTTAAGGAGCCTAATCTTGGTTGATTAGTAAATATCAGTTTATAATATTCAAAAATCTGCAGAGTCTTATATGCAGGATTATTTTTAATCATAACGTTAGTATTGCTATTGATGTAGTTGTTGGGATATTCTTTGGATGAGCTATATACATTAATGAAGAATCATATTATAAATATACGTCAATGTTTATTGATTACACTGATTATTTATCAATGGAGTAAACTGTTTACTTTGTACTATACCAAGTGTTTAACATTCATTACTAACGATTACAGTAGTGTCAAATATTGGATGACATACCATATCAACAAATCAATCTATTTGCAGCTTTTCCCGTAAATGACTACTTTCATTGGTACTCACTATGGTTGTTCATTTTTTCTATCGTTGGTTAAAATTCTACTAGATACCTACTTTTAGAGATAAGAACTTCTTAGTTGATATTTAAGAGTCTAGTCATATACCTGAAAACACAGTTATCGACCCAGAGTGTACAGGAAATATAGATTGGTTTCGCAATGATACTAACTAAATCTAGGTACTTGTGAACGTTTTAAGTGATAATGAAAAATATGTTTGCAATATGTGTCGATTTCTTTTTAGACGGAACAAATGTGTTTTCAAAGCATCCCACTGAATAGTCTAACGATAGAAAGTGATATTATTTTTAGTATAATGTCATAATATTGCATTCTACATTACAACTCATACTCCCTTCATTTAAATTCCTCCTATCATTTGTATTATTTCATTTCAGCTGTTCATCACTAAAATTTATTTGACCATATAAAGTTGTTGAGAAAAAATGGTCCTCGTTTTCTATAATTCAGGTTTTCTTTAAGAAAACAATCAGCCTACTAAATGATGAATTTTCATATTTGCAAAATTACGATTAAACAGTACATTTTATAACGCTAACACATTTTAAATATACCACAGAAGTGAATATTAACCCTGTACATTTAAGATATTGATGCCTGAATGGCACTAAATTAAACTGAAGGACTTGGGAGTGCACATAACTCCTATCATTCACAAATTGTTGATAGAGAACTCCATAGACAACACTATTGGTTATTATAATGTTTCCTGTACATATCAATATTTTATTACAACGGTTAAGATCATGAGTCAGTTGAAGCTAGATCACCATGGGAAACCTGGAAGCACTGGACGGCCATTTCATCCTATTATGGAACTCCTCAGTAGTGCGCATCTACGACCTCACACCCCGCGAGATTCGAACCTGGGACCAGCTGGTTTCGCGCGCAAGCACTTAACCACTAGACCACTGAGCCAGTCGGCATCCAAATTCAACTAATATTTTATTACTCTACAAAAATACCATATTCTTAATTCATAACATTAATCAACAATAAATTTTCAATAATCAATTATGAACAGATTGTAAAAACTAAAAAAGGCAATATTTGACATTCCTAATTTATCACCATCTAATAAAAATTAAAGATGATCAATCATATTACAGAAATAATCAGGGCTTAATTTATATATATGTCTTACCAATGATTGGTTTAAAAGTTAACTGTCCCACCTCCATAAACCATAATTCAATTAACCAATAAGTTTAGTCAATTAGATTACAACAATATAAAATTAATGTTATTTGATGTTTATTAGTCCGCTTTAATAACCAATCATAGGATAGGTATGTGAGGTCTCTAAATTTTGATTGGTCGAACGGCCGTTAGAAGTATGTTAGGCCAACCGGAAATATCGAATCTAAATAGAATACTTGTTTATCTGTCTACCTTTTAACCACATAATCATCATATAGAGAAGGCCTTGAAATTTATTATTTTTTTCACTTTCTACCCCTAAATAAATTTTATATCCATCCCCCTTTTTTTTTATTAATTTAGACAGTTTGACAGGTCATTACACAAGCACAGGCATTCAATTCACTAGTATTCAATGCGATAAATTTCTGACAATTTTTGACAGTTTGACGCGATTACCAGATAAACTAGCCTAATTTATCTCGTCAAGAACACTGCGTGACTTACTCTCGTGTGTGAAAAAGATTTCTAAGAAATCCTATGATGATATGAGCAAATTTTTAATGGCCTTCAAGTTGACAGATTTATCTATCAAATTATAATAATTATTTTTTAAAAAATCATCGAAATAATAATAATAATCACCATAGAAAACCAAAAAAAAAACAAACAAAACAAACGAATATCCTGTTTCAACATTATCTATTAAAATATTGCCATTATTGATCGATTGCCCAAAATTTATTGATAATCATTATTTGTGACGCACATTATTCGAATTGGAACGCACAAGTAACTACATACATAGATACATACAGAGATATATATTTCCCATTTCATTGATCGATTAATTGTTCTACAGGAAATACAATATCAAATCTTATTCACTGGAACACTTCAAATTCATTGGATTATTATTTTATTCTCCTTATGAAGCGATCAACTTAAATTGATTCATTCAATGTATTATGGATTATAAAATTGATATACAAATCAATATATTAATGGATTTCTTTTTGAAAACTGACTATATTTAAACTTGAAAAGATACATTATTGATTTCGGATTTATATATATATATATATTTCTTTTTTGGTGTTCAATATTCTCACTATATACCATCATCTTTGAAATATATAAGAAAATACAACAAAATTAATATTCAGTGGATTTAATTTATTCTAACATCTGAATAAGGAACATCTACACACGAGTACAATAATGAATTCAAGTAATAACAATAATAATAATAAACCTCGGCAGGTAAGTAAAAAAAAACAACATTATATTTTATTTGTCATTCATTATGTTGAATCAGTGAAGTATATTCTCAAATCAATCAGTCTTAATAATTAGGTGATCATATCACATTAGATTGATTTCAAAAAATTGGATTATCTAAATTGAAAATCATCAATACACATGAAGTCATATTACTTTTTAAGGCTTTGTTCCCGCTTTCCTCTTCTCTTCCCTCTGTCTTCCTCTTTCTCTCTCTCTCTCTCTCTTTCTCAAATCACTCTCAACTGTTACTAGCTAATTAACATTATTTCATGGGAAAAAAAAAACTATATAACAAATCATAATCAGTTTATTCATGTTATGGGTACTTAGAAAAATAGATATATCCATAGTTTATCATAGTTCAATGGTAATTGATAGTTTAGAATTGGCAATTGAACTGATATTCAACTTGGACTAGCGATATTGATTTACACATCACTTATTGTTTATTGTTTTTAAAGAAAATGTTTAATGTTATTTGTTTACTAAATTCTTGAGAGATACTGAAATCGAGATTGTTTTATGTAGGGAATTCTTGTTGTAAAATATATGTAAACAACTATTTCAGAATAAGGGTAGTAAATATTTATTTACAATTGAAGTAGATTTAATTAGATATTAGTTAATGCTATAGTACAGTGCAACTGTTTATTGTATAATCAATGTTTCATTAAAAGAAAACTAGTCAACAGTATATATGTAGTAAACAAGAACTCAGGTGGAGACAACATTTTCGTAAAATGTGAAAACCATACATTAAATAATAATCTATTTGCATATCTTCTATCAATTGTCTTCTAGATCCTTCATGAATCTTTCAATTCCTTTCTGTTTTCTTTAGTTCAATCTTCTCAAACTTCTTTTGACAAACATTCCACTTCCAATACAATTTATGTCGACAGATATAAGTAGTACACATCACATATGCACCCGTGATCTAGTATCATCACAAAATCAATTAAGTTGATTATAATCGTAATTTTTTATGAAGAACTGAAAATGAGGAAATATCTCAGTGATCATCAGAAATTTATTCAACTTTGTTCAGTCGAATTCTATGAGGATTGATGATTTTTACTAATTGTAATCATCTCAGTATTGTATGGTGTTAGTTCTTGTACGAGGGTCAAACCAAAACGTGGCATCAGTCCTCGAAGTCACTAATTTCTAGTCTTAGCCATGTTGGTAGACGCAGACTACTTGGTCGGGGTCCGCGTGACTATCGTAACCATTGGTTGGAGACTCTGGGTGATATAGCGTAGGTCTATACACTCTCTGTCTTCCCTCAAACCGTGAGAATAAAATCACTTCATATCTTTCTTTCTACGAACTAATTCCGTTTTCCTGTATCATGCTCTTTCTTTTAATATATTACTAACACTGAATTAACTGGTTCTATGAATTTGTTGTATTAATGAGGTATGGGAACTTATACCGATGTCTATATGTGCCTGATCCTGCGTTGTAGACAACTGACTGAACTGTTAAAACAGTTAAATCAGTGGTTATATAGAGTAAACGATTCGTACATTACTATTTTACATCTAAGTATGGTGTTACTCCTCATGCAGCATAGACCAAGAATCCACAAGCAACTTTTTTCTGGGAGGTCTTTCACATTTGTTGCTAAGTTCTATTCATTCTTTTGATATGTGACTCCAAATCCCATCGCCATTTTTTCCGTTGTCCTACCGTTTTTACGTTTTTTATAGGTTTATTTATTTTGATTTAAGGGAACATGTTTCATTATGACTGAAATCTAAGTACACCAGTTTACGTATGTACTTGCATATAACAGAAACTGTAATGAAATATGATAATGTTGTATAGTTTTCATTCAATTATTAAAAATTGAACAATTTAACTTGGTTAGATCACTCTAAATATGTATATTTAGACTTCACCGTTGTCATGTATACAATTACAGGGTTTTTAAGCAAGAAATACAATTTGGAATATTTAATTATGCTTTTATTTGGTAAAGTTAGGCTTTGACAAACTGTGTTTCATTTTAATTTAGAACTCGTTTTTCGAATTTATATGTTATATCTCAGTGTTGATGTTCACACACTAAATTCCAGGAAATCCTAACTAATCAACTATATTTGTTTGTGTTGATTGTAAAGCTAATACGAATTTCTTTCTACTAATATTTTATTAGTAGTCTAATTAATATCTCATTTAGTTATTTCAATTTATATTTAAACACATAAACATTGTTACAGTAAGGCACCAAATACATGCGCCATATGTGTGAGGGCTGGAATATTGTCCGGGCGTCCAGACCGAAGCAGATGGTTTTCTTAGAAGGCCACTCCCCAAGCCTTTGACACTCGGGTCTAATCCACAAGGTAGTGGAGCAACATTAGGTGATGCGGTCCCATGGTAGCTGGTGACCAATGATAGGTTCATACGCCACTTGTTCCTTCAGGATCCTGAACACATGTGCACCAATGGTTTTGTATCAAGGTTTTCCAACTCCTCTAGGTGGATCCTCCGTATCTACCAACCCTATGAAAGCGCCGAATATTCGTTTTTCGTCCTCCCACTTTGTAAAGAACACTCCTGCCTGAAAAGACAGTGAGTAGAACCTCCCTGACAGTGGCTGTACACGTGTGGCCATGTAGCGCATTTTGAGAGGGAGAGCGAACTCTTTCCACGCTCGCTCGTACTAAGGCATTTGGGGGTAATAATCACTCTCATATTTGTATATATTCATTCTGTGCGTATTGCCTAAATATTGCCTTCATTCAAAACTATTATGAACAGAGATGGTTGGTGGCTAGCAGTGAAATCTAGGACGCGCGTTTCATCTTATTTGGGACACGTCAGCTAAGTGTACCTGCATGCCAGAGTTGATGTTCACTCTGGGACTCAAAACCGGTATCGTTCTCTTTAGACGCCATGACGTTATCCACTTATACTTTATCTTAATAACTAATCACTTAATTTTTGATAATAAGCCATTTTATTTAAAATAGTAAGTCACATTGTTTTAACACATTTGTCATCAATAATTTTCATTGTTTTTACACAATAATAACCATTGAAATCAATTAATTATTCAACATTCTTTTGAATAGTTAAAACATAATTAACATTTTAAAGTGCTGAAAAAAAACAAAACAACTGTCACCCTCTCTCCATTTATATTACTGATGATTTGGTTAATGTAATAAAATCTTTAAGTAGAAATGTTTAAGCTAATACTTATAGTTCTTCCAGATCTTCAAGTGATCATGAACTGTATGAAATTAGTTTTAGTGAGACATAGATGTATTGGCTTATTTCAAAGTATTATTTCTTTTATTCTACTAATACTATGACCTTATTACTCGTTTGTCTGATTTAAGTAGATTATTAGTTTTGTTAAATTTTTTTCTTAATTTACTGATATGAAGAGTTTACAGCTTTGATTGATACGTAACGGTACAAAACAAGCATTATATTTTGTTAGTAACTAACCAATTAATTGATTAAGTAATCCTTATGAAAAGTTATACCTTAAATTTATGTATACAAATTTGTACAGATTATGTACGTTCATAAGTTATGTAACTAGTTCATGGAGATCAACTAGAAAGATTTATATTTTCTCATATGACTCAAATTACTTAATTACTTATGTCATTTATTGGCATTCTTCATCCGACTCTGTCCTGAACAATCCTTTCCAGTTGTTATTCATCCTTTTCATATCTCCTTCCGATTTTCGACACATCGTGTTATTTGGTCCTCCTCTTTTTCGTTTCATTGCAGCAATTCAAGTTAGCGCTTGCGTTGTGATCCAATCTGATGATTTTTTCAATGTGTAATTTATCCACTTTAATCTTCTCTTCTGAATTTCCTCTTCAGATGAAAGCTGGTTTGTTCCCGCCCACAGTAGGCTATTGCTGATGATATCCGGTTAACGAACATTAAGTATCTTGAGTAGACATTTATTTATAAATACTTGTATAGTTTTGTTGACGGTTGTGGTTATTGTCCACGTTTTATCTCCCTGTAAAATAGAACTATCTTGACGTTCGTATTGAAGATTCTGACTTTTATGTTGGTTGAAAGACAGTTGATTTAAGTTCCATATATTTTTCAACTGATGCTGTTGCTCAGGTTAATGAAAGTTTCCATCTTTTCCAGAGCTTCTCTATAACTCAAATTGACAGTGGATGAATTCTTGAATGAATGTCATAATTTAACATGACCACAATTATCCTTCTTTCATTCTATCTATATGTTAATCATCAAGATGTTTTCAGTCCTATAAAAGGATCACAGATACATTGTTAAGTGATCTGGCATATAATCAGTTACGATGAAGTATGTTCATCCACTCACTATTTTCTTTAGATTAATATACATTTCATTCTATCTACACGAATCATTTTGTTATCATCACTAACAATACTTTATTAATGTGGTATTCATCTTCCTTTGGTAATGTATTCTGGCAATTTGGCCCTGTATAAGTTTAATGATTATAGCTGTGCATAATAATAATAAAGATTACCGTAGATTGTTTCTTTATTATTTCATTGTGATCAATTCCTTTTAATGAGAATATTAAAGTAAATATATTAATATAAATGGTATCTCTCCTAAGCAATATGTATAGACATGCATATGCTACTATTAAAACTACTTATATAAGCATACTTATCATTTAAATGATGTTGTATATGTCACACCTGTTCACCATTCAATTATAATATGTACAAAAAACGCATATGTATTTATATTATTATATTTGTTGAACCTGACTATTCTCATCTTTGTTATTATCCATGTTGCTGTGTCCATTTCCAATATGAAAAGATCAACATTATATTCTATTATTCACTTAATTATTCATACATTCTTATCTGTTTCCTCTAAGTGATACTGTTTTTCTAATATCTAATATCCATACTCAAGTATACACTAGTTAAGTATATACATGTTAGTTACTAGCCAAAATTAATTGATCTATTATAGATATCTTC